CCAGAGTATTTGTAACATCCCATAGCTAAATTCTAAACTGAGGATTAAAAGCGCAGCTCACTATCCATATGGCTTTCCACTACTCTCTGAAATCACAGGGAGCTCAGAAACTGTTCATTCGATCATAAAACATTCAAAACCCGACTCCGAATTTCAAGATTATAACAGAAAGGCTGCGTATGACGCATACACACCCTTCGCTTCAGCCAAAAGCGCGCTATTTTTGAACATTTTCACGAGTCACACACTAGCAATTGAAATTTTCACTTGAACAATGTCAATCAAAGAAGAAAGTGATGATTGTCAAGCAAAACATACTGGAGAATAGGAAAAATGGAAAAGTATAAATTTAGAGCAGAAGTGGGGAATTCTGATCTTATTTCACTCCTTTGTCGGTTACGCCAGCTGAATATGCAATGAGATGCGTCGAGTTATTAATTTACAATGATGTAAACGTGTAGGTAGAAGATATGTTGAAGTCACGCGTGTACCGGACAAAATCATTCGTCTTGATAACAAATTGCACTTTGAGAAACGATCTTTGAAACGTTGAACAAGTACTTCGACAATTTTTTCCGAAGTCATCCTCAGATGTATTAAAAAGAGGAAAAATACCAATAACAAAACGCAGTTTACACATTTAAGATCCAGAGAGGAGAGATTTTGCGACCCAATCCACACGCTCACCTCGATAAACGAATGAATTGAACTATCGCTTGGTCGATCGGTGATAAGGAAACGCATTCGTCCATAGAGAATTTCAGATGGTGCCGGCTTAAAGTATGCTGCGGCAGCAGCAGAGCCCGAAATACGCTTTTGCGCTGTGGATGTGCCCATTGGTGAAACGTTAAGCTGAAAAAGCTGAATGATTATTTCAGATATAGAAAAGATGATGTCCTCTTCAAATTCAAAATACTTAAATCTACAAAATTAAAAACGAGTCGCTAGTGATTGAATACTCAAGATGGAAGATATCGTTGCAGATAGCGAGAAATATACATGTAATTTGCGTTTGCGGAAAAACTGTTTTCATTGCTGTAAGCTTTATTGAAGAAATGTTTTAGAAATATAACGACGGCAGAAAATCAATGCAAAATAAGTCTTCATACAAATCTTTTAGAAGAGAAACTAGGAAAAGTGATGAACGTTAAGACAACATCTTATGTAAATTTTTCATGACGCTGTGTACCGCTGGTGGAAACTTGAAAATAAAACTAAGTCTTTTTGACCCGCTACACCGACATCATATCACTCACAGATGCACTGCGAAGTTTCACAACAGCCTCTGCTTCTCTTGCTTGCATGTTGTCTTAACGTCTTAGGCTGTCTGTCTTTCTAAAAATTGACCGCTTTGTAGGGGTGACTGAGTATAAAAATGCCCAAATTTTTCACGTCCTTTCGCATTCAAATGATAGGGATAGAGAAAATTGTGGACAACTCACACAAGGCGTCACAGGTAGGTCAGGGAGGCTGAAGATATACGCAGTCACAGTGTGTAGAAAGGCAAATTTTAATAATTGTTACGTCTAGTCAATAGTGCTGACTTCGGCAAAATTCTCCAACCGGATTCAAGTCCACCACACTCAGCCGGCTGAAATGAAAACGTTATCCTTAATATAAGTATGAGGTTAATTTGTTTATGCTGCTGAAATGCGGAGAAACGGATTCGCAATCTTAACAATGACATCAGCTAGGCCGATAGCTGGCAAATTTCGGGGATGCACGTGTTCATACAGCGGACGCAAACTCACGTGAGTCGAACAATTCATTCGCGAAAACAAGTCAAACCTAAATTCAAGCACTCCCTCATAGAACATCCAAAAGCCAGATGTTTGAGTTGAGAAGAAAGTCGGGTTGTAAGTAAGCTTACAGATAGTGCCAGATCAACATTAGCAAGAATTAAAATCCAAAAAAAAACTTGTAGAAGCAGCTGTAAGACATGTAATTTATCTCAGAAAATATCACATGGGCGAAAAAAAAATATTGCGAATATTGCTACGCAATTGGTATGCCTTATAACTGACAGATGGAAGGCGGTCGAGCGACGCCATTTTTCTCGGTGGACGCTATGTTCACACTATACGTAACAAAAAGATTTTGATGAGCTTTCTTTTCATGGCAAGGAAAGTTTCAGATACCTATCAGCTTGATGGTTACATAAGAACAGCACGAACAATTGTGATTTTTTTTGAAGTCGCATTTTCTTAGAGTAACAGAATAAAACTCCTCTCAACCCATCTCAAAGAAAAACTCCTGACTTGCAGACACATAGCTTTACCTAGTTTTGTCTTAGTAGCTAGAACACGAAAATTTTTTTTGCATTCTTCACAAACTGAAACACAATTAAAACACCGTTCGATATAAGCCCAATTTAACAATATGCTCTACAACTAAAAATCGCACTAC